AAAGCCAAAATCGTTGTGGTCAACGTCTTCCCGATACAGGGCATGAAAGAGTGGGGTCTTAAGAATACTAGGACGTCGAGGGAGGCCTTTTACGGCGACTAGATTGGACACAGTGGCCGCCCAAAGTCAGCAAAATCGGCAAATTTCCGAGATTCGACCACTTTTTGACCAACTTTGGTCCCAAAATCGTTGCGGTCAGCGGGCACCGCTTGACGGCGCGACACGGCGAACCCGCCCCCTCCCCCTTCCAGTGCCGCGACCGCGACCGCCCTGCCCCGCGCAGCCTCGCCGTTCGCACGCGTGGAAAAGTCTGCGCTTTCGGGGAGAAAGAGAAAGAGAGGGAGGGGGGAGAGAGGCAAGGGCGTAAGGGGGTGACAGTCGTGCTGAGTCTGGTCCACTGCTTGGGGTGCCCGCCTCACCCCGCCCCGCCCCGCCAGGGTCGATGTGCGATCCACTGCTGGGGTGTGCCCGCCCCGCCCCGCCGCGCCCCGCCCCACTCCCCCCTATCGAACGGGCCGGCCGGCTCCGAGGGCTCCACCACGCCAAGGGCCCGGCCCCGCCCCGTCCCTTGGGTCCCTTGGTGCGTCTTTGCTCCTTCTTCCGCGACTTGTGCTCCTCGGAGCACGGCACAGTGTGGCGGGGCGGGGCGGGGCGGGGTGCCGCCATTAAAGCAGGATAGGCGCGCATCGCACGCAAACCGAATCTGCGTGTGAAAGGGGCGCACACTAACGTGTGTGCGCGCGCGCGCGTGTGTGTGTGTGTTGCCTTCCCCACCCTCGCGTCCTTTGAGGCACCCCGAGGTCGTGCTTTCATTGGCTTTCTAGTCGATTTGTGTCGAGTCGAGGTAAAAAAAATTGGGGATTTGTAGTTTCCGACATAGTCGATATTTTGAACAGATTTGATCAAACTAACTTTTTTGGGCACGTCTTGTCTTCTAGTTTTCTTTGCGGTGCAGTGCCATGCCGTCCCAACGCGAGAGCCGAGGGTGGCCGCTAAGGGTCCCGTAAAGGTGCTGGCGTCGACATGTAACGCGGGGACGGCCGGGCCACTGGTGGTCCCGCCGCGCCGCGCCGCGAAGTGAACGTTTGGGCGTTGAATTGATTGGCGTCGTTGGGCTGATTGGCCTACAGTGTGGGCCCCCTCCCCTCCCCCTTCAGTCCGCCGCCACCGGGTCGGCTTTGATGTCGTCGGACCGAGCTTGGCTTTCGGACCCCGCTGCCGGCGGTGCTGCCGGCGGGTGAGGCTTGAGGCGACCCAGGGCCCCACTCGCCGCCGGACAGCGGCGAACGTTTAAAAAGCCGGAGATTGAAAAAAAAAGAAAAAAGAAGAAATGTAGCAGTGCATGTTTTGGTTGCGGTTCAGGTGAAGGGGGGCAGGGATTGTGAGCCTCGACGATGTCCCTCTGGGGCCTCGCCGCGCTGTCCCGCGGTGTGCCCCTGGCAATGGAGACATAGGCAACCCAACCGACTCCGGTCTTGCCGGCCCTGCCTCACGGCGTGCTGTCTACCTCGTTCTTTTTCTCTTTCACCTCCTTCCTCTTTCACCACCTACCCCTTCCACCTCCTTCCTCTTTCACCACCTACCCCTTCCACCTCCTTCCTCTTTCACCACCTACCCCTTCCACCTCCTTCCTCTTTCACCACCTACCCCTTCCACCTCCTTCCTCTTTCACCACCTACCCCTTCCACCTCCTTCCTCTTTCACCACCTACCCCTTCCACCACCTTCCTCTTTCACCACCTACCCCTTCCACCTCCTTCCTCTTTCACCACCTACCCCTTCCACCTCCTTCCTCTTTCACCACCTACCCCTTTCACCTCCTTCCTCTTTCACCACCTACCCCTTTCACCTCCTTCCTCTTTCACCACCTACCCCTTCCACCACCTTCCTCTTTCACCACCTACCCCTTTCACCTCCTTCCTCTTTCACCACCTACCCCTTTCACCACCTTCCTCTTTCACCACCTTCCCCTTTCACCGCCTTCCTCTTTCACCGCCTCCCTCCGCCGCCACCAGCGCGCTCCGCTGCTTCGCTATTCCCCGCCGCCTGCACTGCTGCGCGGCACGTCTCGCACCTGTCAATACCCGCCTGGAATATTCCAGGACGCGTCTGGCACTCGGTGACGCGTTCGTTATGGACACAATGACGATGAGACAGGGGGAAGGGGGGGAGTTCCCCCCGCGAGGTCAGCGAACTGTTAACGAACGGAGGCTGGCTGCTGCTGCATGGGAAGCGGATTAGTTTGTTTAAGTAATAGGTTTCGCCTGGGAAAGGGGGTGGGGGCGGGGCCAGCCGGCTGAGGAGATTTTGTTTGGGGACGTGGGGAGTGGGGGCGCTCTGGGGGAGCCCGGCGGAAGCGTGCTGCGGCGAATCCGCACCGCCGTGCGCGTGCTTTTTACAGCCGTTTTCGTGGCCGGGCTTTCGCGGTCAATTTGCATTTCCGTGCCGAGGGAGACGCGGGCAAGAGAGAGAGAGAGGGAGAGAGGGACCCGACGTCGCAGCAAAGCGCGGCGTATTTTTAACGACCCAGCGGTAAAGATTTGCCCGGAATACGCTGAACAGAAACTTTCTTGTATGTGTGCTTTTTTATTGAGATAAATATATAAAATCCCTTCGAGGCAAATCCGGCCACTTGTCCTTGAATTATTGGAATGCACGCGGTTCGCCCGGCCGGATGGGGCGCGCGCGGTATTGTGCGAAGTCGCGACCGAAGGGGACCCCCACGGATGACTGTATATACAGTGCCGCAGCCCCTAGCGCGGCCCTGGCTTGCGGCCCTGGCTTGCGGCACTGTACTTATCATTCGCTGAGTTTGACCCGACCGCGCAGCCCTGGCATGGCGGGGGGAAGACGGTGACGGGGAGGGGGTGGCATAGGGCCGGAGCAGGGGGGGGGGCGGCAAGGGCTAGAGCCGGCTGCAGCTGAACGGGGAAAGGGGTCGGACGCTGGAAAAGTAGGTGAATTGCCTGTTCGAACCACGCGACGGCAAGGACGGGTTGAGGGGAGGGGCGAGGGGGGGGGGGCAGGGGGCGCACAAGCAGCGTGTAATGGGATTGGCTGCGGGGAGACGACGGGCTGCTCTCGTGGTCGCAGCGCGAAATTTTCGTTTTTCTTTCTTTTTTTTTAGTTCTGGTCGGACAACGGGAAGGGTCTCTAAAGTGTTGAAACGTCTCTCCGCCCGCTTGGCGTCCGCCCCCGTTTGTCCTCTGTGCGCGTCTTTCTGTCTCACCGCGTCCCGGAATTCATCAGCGCTGTGTGCGCGGGGCGCGCGCCGCGGAGGCTGGGGCCGATCGGCGGGGCGGGGCGGGGCGGGGCGGGGCGGGGCGGGGTGGGGCGGGGCGGTAGCCATCCCGGCGTTATGCCGCGCGGGACATTTTGCATTGCAGATGCGGGCCGGCGTCGCAGCGGGGGTGGCAAATGGAGGGGGGGGGAAGGTTTCGGGGTGGGGGTGCTGACCGCGCGACTAGGGATGTAAAAATACCGGTAAGATTCAAAGTTACTTAAATAACGGTAAAATAAGGTATCTTACCGTAATATACGGTATAATTGGGTAAAGTTAATTTTTATCGTTTTGATCCACTTTGCTGCAATAACGCTCCCAAACTAAGGCGGCCAATCGCACTCCGTAACAAAGGTGTTCTAAAGGAAGGCCCAAAGACCACCCACACGTTGGGGGAGAACGATTACGAGCCTTAGATTAGACGCAATCGCTCCGACTCCCTCGCACTCGTGGGGCGTGCCGCACGGGTGCGAGAGAGACAGAGCGACGAGCAGTCAGCCGGGCCGTTGGGGCCGCTAGGGCCACTTGGGCTGCGGGTGGAGGCCTGGAGGGAGGCACGGGGCTACTCATCCATTTTCATTCTGATTCCCCTGTCCAGTTTCCCTGCCGCTTCCTGCTCTGCTCCCCATTGTCCGTGCATCCCGCTATTCATCAGTCCGGGGTTCAAGTACCGCCGCCACCGAGATGCCCCCTCAGCCTTTTTTTCCCCCGAGGCCTGCCACGGCGCCCTGTCTCTCTCGCACCCCCTCGAGGCGCCCCACGAGCGCGAGCGAGAGAGACCGCACGCCCGGAATAAGCCTGCCGCTCCGTCCGCTCGCTCTCCGAACTCTCTGCCTGCAGACTCATTCCTCTCTCGCACCCATACGGGACGCCCCGTGAGTGCGAGCGAGACAGAGCGAGCCCGGCTCGAGGAGCGGCGAGGAGCGCCCGGCGGTCTGGCGATGCCTGCCCGTTGGCCGGGATGCCCGGCGGGTTGCCTGCCTCCAGGCTGAATGGCCAGTAGCCGTAAGCAGCCGTCGCTCTGTCTCGCTCGCACTCACGAGGCGTCCCGGAGGAGGGGGAGGAGTGCGGGAGGGAAGAGAGGAAGGGGGTGAACTCGAGGACGCGATGCCATCCCTGTGTGTGTTAGCGTGTGTGAGCTGCAAAGGTCTGAGGAGTGAGTGCGCGCGCTGTGTGGAGCTGCCCGTTTGTGTCTGTGCGGCCGGGGGCAGGGATGCTCGTGTGTTTGTGTGTGGGGTAGGGGGCGGGGGCGTAAGTGCGGAATCCATTTTTCAAACGCGAATGCAGTCTGGCGCTAAAAGGGTCCAGGCGAGACTGACGGCTGACGGCCGGCCTGACGGACGCCAGGATGGCAGTGCTGCGCGCTGCGCGTCTGGCGTCCTGGAAATTATTAAATTGGCCCACCGGAATGTCACTACCGGGCTGCGCCTTCTCCATTCTTGTTTTTTCTGCCTTTTTTTTTTTTTTTTTTTTTTTTGCATTTGCGCCGAAATGGGTTTTTCAGCGCCGTGTGGCGGGGCGTGGCGCTGGTTGAACGACACCGCGTCACCAGCAGACTGACTCCGAGGGTCGCTTTCGTGGCGCTGTCTCTGTCGCACTCGTGGGGCGTCCCGTGTAGGTGCGAGAGAGACGGAGCGACTCGAACGACTGCAGGGGCGTGGCCGCGTGGCCCCAGCCAATCGGATAGAAATGAGGCTGAAATGTTGTTGTTGTTGTTGCAGACACGGACAGCCAGCGGGTCATCATCCACGTCAAGGACGTGAACGACGAGCCGCCCTACTTCATCAACCGGCCGCTGCCCATGCAGGCCGTGGTGCAGCTCAACGCGCCGCCCAACACGCCCGTCTTCACGCTGCAGGCGCGCGACCCGGACACGGACCACAACATCCACTACTTCATCGTCAGGGACAGGAGTGAGTATGGGTTGCGTGGGCGGTGACTAGGGTGACCAGGGTGCTGTCCAAGGTGGTGACTAGGGTGACCGTCTGCGCTTCCTGTTTGCAGCCGGCGGTCGCTTCGAGGTGGACGAGCGGTCCGGCGTGGTGCGGACCCGCGGCACCGACCTCTTCCAGCTGGACATGGAGTACGTGCTGTACGTGCGCGCCGAGGACCAGAACGGCCGCATCGACGGACACAAGTACCAGTCCACCCCGGAGGAGCGGCTGTCCATCGTGGGCGGCAAGCGCGCCCCGCAGTTCTACATGCCGTCCTACGAGGCCGAGATCCCCGAGAACCAGAAGAAGGACTCCGAGTAAGTTCGGGGGGACGGTGCTACCCTTTTAGGAAATGAGTTGAAATTTGTGAAAGAATTTCAAAATTTGGGAAATAAAGTGGTACTTACTCAGGAAATAAGTTTGAATAATTTTTCTAAAAAAATTGATCTTGCTACACTTGTTGGTCAGTTTTCCGTATGTGTTAAAATTAAATGATGTTTTTTTTGTTTTTTTTAAATTTTTATCAGTGCCTTGGCTAATTTGGAAACCTTTTTGCAGCATTATTTCAGTGAAGGCCAAGTCGTTTGCTGACCGCGATATCCGCTACACTCTGAAGGCCCAGGGGCAAGGCGCTGGCACATTCAACATTGGAGCTTCCAATGGAATCGTAAAGCTGGCTAAGGAACTCGACTTCGAAGATCTGCGTCAGCCTCATGTGTATTCCTTGATCGTCACTGCCACGGAGGACTCTGGAGGCTTTTCTACCACCGTTGGGGTATGTTATAAGTTCGGATTTGTGTATTTCATGTGATGTAGGAGCGCCTAAATGTTTTAATGGGAGAAATTAATTTTTATTTTATACTTTCAGCTCACTATTCGAGTTACTGACGTCAATGACAATGCTCCTAAATTTGAGCTGCCGGATTACCAAGCGCACAGTGTGGATGAAGACATTCCCCTTGGAACCTCCATCCTGAAAGTAAAAGCTACTGATGCTGATTCGGGGCACAATGCCGAACTTGACTATGAAGTCTCTGATGACCACTTTAGCATCGATGCAGCTGGAGTTGTGAGCAACAACAAGCAGCTGGATGCGGACAATAACAATGCTTATTATGAATTTACTGTCACTGCCAAAGACAAAGGTACGTTACAAACGCTTTGAAGTTTTGTTTTCGGTTCCAAATTAAATTATTGTGAGCCTAACATGATTTTTATGCACTGATTATAGGAGAGCCGTCTAAGACTGGAACCGCCACTGTCCGTGTTTACACCAAAAACAAGAACGATGAAGAACCCAAATTCTCACAGCAGGTGTACACACCGAATGTTGATGAGAATGCTGGCCCTAATACTCTCGTCACTACTGTAGTGGCATCTGACAAAGACGGTGATAATGTTCGATTTGGTTTTGTTGGAGGCGGTACCACATCTGGTCAATTCGTCATTGAGGAAATTACTGGTGTCATCCGTCTTCAAGGCCAAGTATGTAGTCTATTTTTCTTTACAATGCAATTTGTTTTTTTAGTTTCGTTTACAGCTGGCCAACTTAATATTTGTGATATTTACAGAGTATTAGCTTAGAGCGTGACAAATACGAGCTCAATGTAACTGCAATGGACGATGGCTCATGTTGTGTTGATGGGGACCAAACTAAACACACATCGACTGCTGTTGTTGTCGTGTTTATTACTGATGTCAATGACAATAAACCCGTATTCAAAGACTGTGGTACTTACTATCCAAAGGTTGAGGAAGGTGCACCCAACAGCACACCTGTCATCAAGGTAAGAATTACAGTTATTTATTTTATTTTTATAGGTACAGTATTTCAAAACAATTAGTGTACAATCAATGTGCAACTCAAAATTTTCTTTTTAAGGTACATGCCACTGATGATGACAAGGGAGTAAATGGCCAAGTGAAATATTCCATTGTACAACAACCCAATCAGAAAGGAACCAAGTTTATGGTCAATGAGGAGACGGGTGAAGTTCTGACAAACAAAGTAAGCGACTTTGTCTATTGATGAGTCCCACTGTAATTAACCCCCTACCTCTAATGTTAATGTGTGTGTTGCAGGTGTTTGATCGTGAAGGAGATGATGGCAAATTTGTATCTGTGACAGTAAAGGCTACTGATCAGGGTGATCCATCTTTGGAAGGAGTTTGCTCCTTTACTGTTGAAATTTCTGATGTCAATGACAACCCACCCCTATTTGACCGACAGGTTTGTAGTGAAGAAAATTAATCAATCTTCTTTGTGTTGAGAATTCAATTTCAATGATTTTATCATATATTTTGCAGAAATATGTTGAGAATGTAAAACAAGATGCAAGCATTGGAACTAATATACTCCGTGTATCAGCTTCTGACGAAGATGCTGACAACAATGGAGCTATCATTTACACACTTAGTGCGCCTGTAATGCAGTCAGATATTGAGTATTTTGAAATTCAACCAGAATCTGGTTGGATTGTATTGAAGAAGCCTCTGGACGTAAGTTATCCTCCTTCATTTTCCTGACTTGATTTAATATAACTGCAGTACTATGTCTTACACTTGATCTGTCATCCCTTGCAAATGAGTACACATCATATGTCAGTCACTCTCTTAATTAATGTCTTTCACTTATATCACATTTTGAGGTGTTTAAAAAAATAATTGTCATATCTCATTCTGAAACAAACACAGACACTTTATACTGGATAAGAATTACTCCCCTTTCCTTTCTATTATGTTGCTCTCCTGAGCTGTTTATAGCCTCTATAAAATAATTTAAAGAGTCAAGTAGCCACATCCATCTCTGCTTACAATTGTACAGCAAATCAAAACACTCATTATGTGCCAATACTTGATTTATTGGTTTTTATAGTGACATTGTCCTTTTGTGTGATTTCCACCTCTTATTATTTCAATGCATGCCTATTCAAATCAAATGATGTGATAAATTCTCTTTTCATCTTTAAGTAAGGGAAGTTTGAACTTGTTTTATCTTGATTAATCTTCATGACAATCCTGTATGCATGAGAAAAATATTCATATGGAGACTTTATCACAGAAATCCCAAATGATACACATGCTGTAATTCCTTAGGTATACTTAAAGCTGTTCTTTTGTTTCTCAAGCTTCTTCATCTATTGAAAACTTGTTGCACATTTCTTTGGTTTGCAAGTCATCTTATTTATCTTTTGACTTCAAGCTTTCTCAGAAGCACATTCCTATCAAATGAGATTTGTGTTGCATTTTCAGCAACACTTTTGATTTTAGATACTTTGTGTAGCTAATTTCTTTGAGACACCACACTCTCCATTTATGAATAATCAAGAATTTTAAACCTTTCCAATTGAACTTTTTCTCTTTTTGTTTTGGACCTTTTTTTCTCTTGATTTTTAGTCCCAAATGAAAATTTTTTAGTTTTATCCCACTACTTTGTGCAATTTAGATTGTAAGTAGTTTTGATCAATGATTTCCTATTTTGAAGTTGATTTTCCTTTGAAATGGTTTTGGTTTGGATTGTCTCATGTATTTTTCAACAGCTGTCTGGCGGTGCCCGATCCTGCAGGTGTATTTTTCTTGTTTTTCATGTTTTACCTTTTTATAGCCAATTCATAAATATTTCTGACTTGGCTCACTGCAAGTTTTTCATTATTTTCATGGTTGCTCTTTTTTATATGCCGGTTACATTTCATTTGTTTTCCACTTTGGAGATGGTCTGAATCATAAGTACACTCCTATCGCCAGTGTTTTATTTTTATATGGCTCTGAGGAGGAATTTTGGTTTCCTAAGCTGAATGATTTGTGACATTTTTATCTCTGTGGATGGGGCAATGCACATATTCGACTGCTGTAGATGCAATCCTTGGTTTTACGGATGCATCCAAAGCTTTGTCAGACAGCCTTTTTTGCTGTCCAATAACAATGGATTCTTTCGTGTTTCTCTCATCGTAAAGGTTGCACACCTCTGCATGAGTATATCTGCTTCACTCAATATGGTTTCAAAATGTGTTAATTTGTTACTGCACCATTTCTGTTCCGTGGATTGAACCACTTCAAGGGATGTTTTTCAGTAAGTAGGTAAATTCGGATGCACTGTTAATTGTGGAAAGTCCTGTACTGTTTGTATGCAACGTTTTGGCTATGGACAACAAGATGCACCTCCTGGCTTGCAAGCACTATCACTTCGCTACTGTTTCTCTTTGTGTCTCGGGACTGTGAAACCGGATACAATTGAAATGCAATTCACTGTTTGCAATTTATTGCTTGAGACACTTATTGTGAAAGTGTTATTTTGCTCACAATAGAAAGCTTTAGAGGCCCTCTTACCTTCACCTCCCCATTTCATTCCTTTTGAGAAAGCTTTTAATATGCTAGAGTCCAATAGGAACTCACTGTGCTCACACCAACTCCTTGTTGGTTTGCATTGTTGTCTCCTAATCAGTGACTGTGAAGATCTCTCTAATTCCTCACCACCACACTGCAGACACCACACAAACTCCTTGCTCCTTGTTTTTCTTTTCTGTCTCCTCTATTTTTATTTTTTCCTTTATCTTTTGTTTGGTAACCATTTCGTTTCCTTCATTCCTTCTCTTCATTTTATTTCATGCATTTCTTCTGTTACTTACTTACATTATTTTATGTTATGTTTCTACTTATATTTATTTTTTCATCTTATCTTAAATATTTTTTTAAAATTTGTTATGTTTATTTTGTTTTATTGAATTTTTTTTTGTCTGGTTTATTCTTCATGGAGATCTCATGGCACTATTGTTATTTATTCGTTACCAATTATAGAGAGAAAGGTACCGTCTGCGTGTGCGAGCGTCAGACAAGGGAATCCCCCCATCGTTCGCGGATGTGGACGTTGAGCTAGACGTCGTAGACAGGAACAATAAGCCCCCCATTTGGGAGGAGGGTGTGTACGGCCCCATTCGCATCAAAGAAAATGTCACAGTTGGTACAATAGTGACAGCAGTACGAGCCAGGTTTGTACATCGTTCTGGTGTGATTCTCTAGAATTAACAAACTGATTTGTGGTGCTTTCCCCAGCACTCCAACCTTATTGTAGCACAAAACTGCCAAGTCGTTCCTCAGTTAATGCAAACCAATGTAGTTAAGATATCCTGTAGTGATACATTGTAAAATATTTGAAGTTACTGCGACACGTGAACAAGTGTCCTTTCTGCCAGACTTGACAATATGTTGTTGCTCCTTGTAAGGTTTGAGTACTGTTTGAAATGCTACATGTTGTGGTGTACCATTTGCTCCTAGCAGGTTTTTGGCGCAGCGTTTTCGGAGTAGGTCCTCAGCCCCAACCCAGCGCTCCATAACCAGATTTTTTGACTAACATAACTAACTGCGTGATTTTTTCTTGTTTTTTGTCCATTTAACTTTTTCTTAATAGAAAGAGACTTACAAGTTGGAGGCCACTGCTACCGACAAAGGTTACCCACCTTTGACTCGAACTGTGGAGGTCCAGATAGAAGTGGTGGATCGTGCGAACAACCCACCAATTTGGGATCATGTTCAGTATGGTCCTGTCTTCATAAAAGAGAACACAGCGGTTGGGGCTAAAGTTATTTCGGTTAAAGCCAGGTCTGTTGTCAGATTTCTGTGGAATGCTCCTTGCACGACACTGTGGGCGAGATGTTTGGGTTATATTTTTGCACGCTCACTCACCCACACTGTCATAATGCACGTGGCGCATTCTTTGGTGTGGCTATCAGTATCCATGTTCGGATCTTTGTTTTCATTTTATGTGTTCTTTGTGTGCCAAGCAGAGACTTAGGGTAGAAGCATTAGTGTATCCCGTTAAAAATGTGCTCCTGTTTGAAGAATCAATCCACCTGTTCCCTACCATCTGCTCTTAGAATTACTGCTGAGTTTTCCAAAGAATTCTCTTATTAGAAGAGCTTGCTTTCTTCCTTGCTTTACTTCCCAGGAATCTTAACTTGGAGTGGGAGTGCACCAAAGATTTCCTTGGAACGGTGATTTAAGTGCAATGGGGATGTGTATTTTTCAAACAGAGCAATTCTTACTTCTGGATGTTGTCACTTTTTAAGACATAAAAAAATTTGTTGATTCATACAGTAAATGGTTTTGATTTATATTTTTCTCTTAGTTGGACACTCTTCCAACTTAACACACCTACAGCATTTTTAAGGTTTAAGGTTTAAAGGCTTGCCTTTGGCATAGAAATTGACAACATCCATCAAGTAACCCCTAGCAAATAGAAGAAATTGAACTCCTTTTTGATGCTCTCTAAATATTCAGTTATGTCTCGTAGATGATAATGGCAACAGTGGTATGAAATGGTTAGCTCATAATAGAAATAAATAACTAATTGAAATAGTTACAAAACTAATGTCAAATTTAGCCTAACTATAGATAGTACAAATGAAATGTGTGCAATATTAACAAAGTAGGTGGTTTAGGAGGTACTGTATCAATCAACAAACAATTTGATATCATGGTTCTATTGTAATGTACTTTTAGCTACTCAAAGCACTACAGTTTACTAATGGTGCAGGTATTTTCAACATTTTTCAAATCAGATTTAAAAACAATTTTTAATATGCCTCTGAAAAAAAATATTTTTCCTTTTTTAAAGACCTTCAGTCTTTTGCCTGTTTTGATCTTATTTGACCCTATCAATTTGTGGGGCAAATCAACTAGTACAAATTTTCAATTGGCTTTTTAGAACCAATGTTTTCGGTGTTCAGAGAGGAGTTTGTTGTTTTAAACATACTGTGTGCCCAGCTTTTGGATTGGTGACATTTTTACTGCTTTTGAATAAGCTTTGTGAGAATGTGATTTGGCACCAAATTCTTGAGCCATTTCACAGCTTTACAGCATCCACGTCATTGAGAGACCTTTTTGTGTTTTCCTCAACGTCATTAAAAATATCTCAATTTTTTTTTCTATTGAAGGAGAAAAGAGTTTACACCTTTCCAGATCCCTAATCTTTTGTGGATGCTGTAGAGTTCCTTTTTTATGCGTGCTGCCAAGCGCATTGTTTTATTTTTTATGCTGCATGAATGCATTCGAGAGTCAACATTCTGCTCTCTTTTTACTGCATACTGATTAGATTTTCTGAATCTATTTATTTTTACGATTAAATTTTTATTTTGATCTCTCTCTTTCTAAGATGGAGTACATTTGAAGTAGTTAGAAATGCTTAGTGAAGCATCATGTTTTTCAATGATGGAAACAGCATTTATAGAATTAGTAGATTTTGCAGTGCTATAGTCATTTTTCATGCTCTAGCAATTTTTCTTTTAAGTTGAGAATGTTTTTGTAGGATGATATTTTTGTTCAACTTTTTTCTGTAACCTTTTTTTTAAACAAAGGAAGTTTCAGAGGCATTGCATTTGTGCAATATCTCTTTTTTAAAAATGCAAACATTTTATTGCATTTTTTTGGGGTTGTAAATTTTGGAATATTTTAGAGGCTATTAAATGGGGAAATCAGAATAACTCGTGGGTTCTTTTGGATATCAGCCAAAGTTTATTTTGCCGTTCTGTCTCTATGAGTTATGAAGATTAATCTGACATAAGTTATTTGACTGTAGCTCGGGCATCGAAGGCAACCCCACCGTCTACTACCGACTGATGCCTGGCTCCACGGCACAAACCAACAAGTTCCACACCTTCTACCTGCAACAACGCGCGGACAACGGGAACACGTGGGCCGACATAAAAGTGAATCACCCGCTGGACTACGAGAGCATAAAGGAGTACAACTTGACTATACGTGTGGAGGTGAGTACCACATTTGCGCTCAATCTCACTCCATCCACTTCACCCAGAAAACCGCTGGTAGCCCCAACTATGTGTTATCATCCCTGTGGTCACATTCACCATTGTATCGTTGAAACTTGAAACTCTTTGTGACTCACGTTTTATTGTGCTTGCTTGCAGAACAACGGTGCCCAGCAGCTGGCCTCGGAGGCCACGGTGCACATCCAGCTGGAGGACGTGAACGACGAGATCCCCTTGTTCACGGAGCGCGAGCAGGAGCTGGTGCTGGAGGGGGAGCCCATCGGCACCAGGGTCACGCAGATCAACGCCATCGACAAAGACGGCACCTACCCCAACAACCAGGTGCGTTCGGGGTCCCCCACGTCACTGAGACCCTTCTGAACCTCGAGGAGCGGCAACAGTTGCCCACTGTGTCCCTGGTTCAGAACGGTCCCAGGCAACGGATCCCGGCGCATCCGGCTTTTCGGGTGGACTAAATTCAGCTTTGCATAATGTCGCTTTGTCGTGCCTTTCTCGCACCTGTGCGAGACGCTCACTCTCGATGAGTGCGAGAGAGACACTCGTAGAAAAAATAGTAGGCTAGTTGACGCAGACTGACACTGAAAAATTAAGTCAGTACTCAGTGCGCACTTCGAAGGAGCACAAGTACACACCTTGAGCATTAGTTTCGAAGTGTGCACTGAGTACAAACTTGAGTTTTCAGTGCAGCTAAAATTGCGACAGGGAAGACTTTGAGTTGGGGCATCTGAAAATCGACTGGTGTAGGCAATAATTGGTAGCACTATAATCAAGGGTCAGCTGATAAAGTGGAACCAACCCAGAGCTCTCCAGCTGACCCTTGACTAGACTCGTGCTACCAAGGCTTTGACTGATGAAGTTATCGATCAGCCCAAATTCAAACTCTCCATTGGCACTGTTTTAGCTTCTTGTCTGCTAACTCTTGTCAGCATCAGCTAATGTTTAGTGGAGGCCCAGCTACAGGCCTCTGACGCTTAGCCAATGCTCAGCTAGTAATTGTACTTAACTGAATCAGCTACCCGGCCAGAATTAGGTGTTCGAAAGGACATCGGTTCGACGTAGAATCAATGGAGTTTTCATTGATTCTACATCGAATTGACGTCGTTTCGAACACCTAAATTCTGGCCGGGTAATGCTCAGCCGCCAATTGTTATCATCTTCATCAACTCATTGTCATCCGCATCAAATGGTGGTTGCCTGCTGCAGCGCTTATTCGCCTTGCGTCCGCTAACCCATTTTTTTTTTTTTTCGCAGTGCCGCAGCTGCAGTGCTCACTGTCCTTGTGTGTTCCCGCAGGTGTACTACTACGTGGTGGACTCTCCGCGCAACCTCGGCAAGGACTTCTTCGAGATCAACATGCAGACCGGGGAGGTGTTCACGCGCATCGTGTTCGATCGCGAGAAGCAGGGCGCGTACGCCCTGGAGGTGGAGGCGAGGGACGGCTCACCGTCGGCGCGGCCCAACTCGCACGGACAGCCCAACTCAGGTGAGTGCTGCCTCCTTTCCACCCCACTGCCACCGTCCATTCTGTCCCTTGACGCGGCCGTGTCTCTTGACACTGCTCGACTCGAGCACGCAAGATGTTTGCACTGAATTTTTTCCATCTTTCCCTCCTCCTCCCCCCTTCCTTGCCCGGGCCGTGTGGGGCCGCGGGGCCGCGGGGCCGAAGGTGCGCTGATTGGACGTTCTGGTGAGGGCGGGGCGGGGCGGCAAGCGCGCTCGGCCCGCCCCGCCGTCTTTTAATTAATGCACACCTCTTCGTTTCCGGGCCGCCTCACCGACAGAGTTTTCATGCCACGTAGGGTGCTCGGGCCTTTGAAGACTCCCCGGGGGCCGTTACTTAGAACCACACACACACTCTCCAAAGCTGCTCTCTCTCACTCACACGTTCACACAGACACCTACACACACCCTCGCTTCCTTCCCCCCTCCCCGCTCTCTCACTCACACCGAGGTCCTCGTGGCCGTCCTGCACATACCGCCGCTGGCGACGCCGTGTAACGCAGTAACGTGTAACGCTGCGACGGGACGGGACGGGCATTCCAGTCGGTCGGCAAGTTTTCGGCAGTAACGGAGCGCCGCACGACCCACGTATGACAGGCGGGGCGGGGCGGCGAGGCGAGGCGAGGCATTTCGCTGTTTGTCCAAAGTTTGAAGAGCGGCACGCCGGCGCGGCGAGGCATTTCGTTGCGCCCTCCTCCGCGTCGGCAAGTCGGCAGCCATTCCCGCGGCCTCGGGCTTTGTCTCTGGTTTCCGAGTGACGACGTCGCCCTCACCATTTTATTGGCCGGGCGGGGCGGGGCGGGGCGGGGCGTGGCCGTAAAGCACCCGAGAGCGGGCCGTGGAGCGGAGTGCGCCGGGTGCCCCAGCCAAGACGCTGCAGTGGTGCACCACGCGGGTTTGCCTATCCGCGGCTGGACCCCACACTCACAGAACGGAATGGACCGAGTTTCTTCGAACCGCCTCGACCAAAAGTGTTTTCACAGAGTGTGAGAAAGTCCAGATTTGCTTCGAGGAACGTGAATATTGAGGGGTTCAGCTCGGGCTCTGAACGCGCGAGCTCCGTCTCGGCCGAGAGGCACGCCGCGCCGCTGCGCCGCGTAAACGATGCCGATGATACAGAGAGACGGCACCCGGTGGCGTTCCCGAGATTGTCTCTCCGGCCGTTCATGAGAGAAAGGATGGAAAAAGCTGGGGGAGGGGGGCGTCGTTGGAGTTCGAAGGGCAACAGACTCACTAACCCCCCACCCTGCTGCCGCTGCCTTTGAGATTCCGTTATCATTTTTATTATTACGAAGACTCCATAATCTTGTTGTGTGTGCGGTCTCGGTGCCTCCTCTGCCCTGCTCGCCTCCCCCTCCCCCTCCCCCTTCGAGTCCAGCACTCACTGTTTCCTATCTCGGTACCCATAAATACGCCCCCTCCTCTTCTGCATGGACCTGCCCGGCCAACTTACGCTGAACGTCCGCCAAGGTTTGGCCGGGGAGACTCTGCGGGCCGAACGGCGCTGCTCCGTCTCTCTCGCACTCGCGGGGCGTGGCGTAGGGTGCGAGAGAGACGGAGCGACGGCAGGGACCCTCGGAATGATCGAGCTGCCGTCCGCGGGGAGGACGGAGAACTCGCCCCGCCTCGCCGCGGCGGGTATTTGAACCCGGGGCGGACGCGGAGCGATGGCCCTGCCCTGCCCTGCCCTGCCCGGCCCTGCCCGGTGTCTGCGGTCTGGGTTGGGCGACACGCCGGATCGGACAGACCCCCCCCCTGCCCCCTTCGCCTCTTTTTCTGCCCCCCCCCCTCCTCGTTTCTCCTGAGTGACACTCGGGCGGGCCGGTCGTCTTGTCGCGAGATCACACACTAGTTGGCACCGGCCTAAGGGCCGCTGTGTGTGTGCGTGGGGGGGGGGGGGTGTCTTTCCTGTTATGCGGACGACGCGAAGGGTGCAAAATAAAGCCTTTGCAGGATGGGATCAAAAGACGGGAAAAAAGAAGAAAAAAGGGGGAGGACGAAGGTGAGGGTTCGATTCCGGGATCTATCTTTCGTTCCTCCGTGGCCCTTTTTTCTTTTTTCTCTTTTCTTTATTTCCGCGCCGCTCGGTCTGGTCGTCCGCTCGGCGCTCCAGACTCGGTGCGGTGCTCGCGGCGCTCGCCGGCCTCGCCGCTCGCACCCCGAGCAGCACGAGGAGGAGGTGGTGGTGGCGGCAATGCTGACTCCCGACCGGAAGCCAATTGAGAACACTCGGTTTACTCACGATGGAGGGGGAAGGGGAGGGGGGTGCGCAGAAGGTCTCGAAGGCACTGCATTGTGTGGGGCGAGCACGCGGGTTTATTTACCAACGGCAGCACGCACGCTGGCGGGCGTCGCTCTGTCTCTCTCGCGCCCCTGCGGGACGCGCCGTGGGTGCGAGAGAGACAGACGGAGGGAGCGCGCGCGCAGCACGACTGACCGCTGCGGCCCGCGGCACGGCGAGTCCTTTGAGGAGCGACCTCGCCCCGGGTAGTACCGAACCCGAGATCGGCCATCTCGCAACAAACAACAACAAGACGGACACGTCCGGCAGTCCTCTTCGCCGCCCTGTCCCTCTCGCACCCATGCGGGGCGCCCCGTGAGTGCGAGAGGGACAGAGCGACTGGCTGCAGCTCGGTGCCCGTCGGGCTGGGGCTGGGCGGAGCGCCCGGCACGCAGGCCCGCCCGTCGCGCGGCGGTGCGTGGCGGGCTGGCCTATGCTTCGGTTCGCAGGCGCCCTGGCGGCGCTGCCGGGCCGCCGGCGAGGTCGTTGCCTCTGCGTTGACGCGCCTCGTCAGCCTGCAGCAGACTCATTCCGAGAGTCGCTCTGTCTCTCTCGCACTCGCGGGGCGTCTCGTGTAGGTGCGAGAGAGACAGCGCGACGACTCTCGGAATCAGTCTGCCGGTTCGCAAAGTTCGCCGCCGCACATGACGTCATCATGACGTGGACATAAAAACGAACCGCTCCGGAAAAAAGAGAGGAACCCCCCCCCCAAAAAAAAAGGCGCTGCGAGGCAGTTTAGCCGGAGCGGCAACAAATGGCTGCGCGGGCCTCGCCGCTTTTGACCGCTGAACCGGAGCAGAGCAAACGTGGAGCCGTCACCGAGCCGCGGGGGAAGGGGGGGGGGGGGCGGTGAGGGGAGGGTTTTAGCAACTCGGCCAAACTCCCATTAAAACTATAAACTCCGCCATGTCTGTTCGTTTCCATCGCCTGTTTCCCGCTCGGTAATCCAAGCTAGCCGAACCAGCCGAAGCCAGCCGAGCCAAGCCTCCGCGAGGCCCCATCCGCCTCATCCCCCCCTCTCCTTGCTCCCTCCATGTACTCCGTCCCGCTACCAATGGTCTCCGCTCCGCCTGGCTCGAATGGACCGTGAACCAAAACGGCATACTGTTGCACCCGATTCCCCCCCCCTCCCCCCCCCCGGGTGATGCGGGTCCTCACAGGTCACCAGGCTCGCCCACTTTTGGTTGGTTGATGCGCCTTTCCGTTGCATTGGCTCCCCTTTTCGTCTGCTTTGCTATTCGTGTCTCTTTCTTCCCCCTCTCTCCATATCTATCCGTCTCCCATCTTTCTTTCCCTATTCGTCCCCCTCGTCCTATAACACCCCCCTCCCGTTTTGCGCTCACGCTTTAGTCTAATCGGATTGGTTTTCTGTTTTCTGTTCACAGGTGAGTCAGCTCGCGCGCGTTCGCTGTGGACTGTGGACGCTTTCGACTGATCGGTTCCGGCCTCCATCGGGGAATGCACTTGCGTGAGTCGACCTGGTTTGACCGCCCCACTGTTCGCCGTTTTTATATTTAGAATGTAGAATGGAGGGCGACCATTGCGAAACTCGTCGTCGACGTTCCGAGAAACGCGCGGAGAAAAAACAAAAGGTCCGCGAGAAGAAATTATCGGAGATGTTTGTCCGCGTGTGTTTGTGGAGAGGGGAGCCCCGACGGAAAATGTTCCGTAAATTCCGCCAGCCAATATCGCCAACGCAACTCGAGACGTGAGCGTCGAATATGATGTGCTGGCGCGTCGGCTGCCCTCGGGGCCCTAAGACCCCACAGGGGGCGAGAGAGAGAGAGAGAGAGAGAGAGAGAGAGAGAGAGAGAGACAAAGCCATGTTCGAAACCAGCCTGCAGCTTGCCGGCGCGCTGATATTGAGGACCGCGCCGGTCCGCGCACCGTTTAAGCTCTCTGCGCCGTCCTATCAGTGCCCCCCTCCGATACCCCCCCCCCCTCCCCCAGGACGACACTCGGCACATGGTTTACGACGAGATGCGCGCGTTGACTTTCAAAATTGGCGCCGCTCGTTGCAAGTCAATTTGTGAAGGCCGGCGGTGCCGCCGGCGCGTCGTTCGGCCTCGTTCCACTCGTTCGGCGCGGCGCGGCGCGGCACACTGATTCCGAGAGTCCTTCCCGTCGCCCTGTCCCCCTCGCGCCCATGAAGGCGGAAGTCAGCAGAGGGCGAGAAATAGTGGATCCTTCCGCGGCGCCGAAAACTACTTCGTTTGGGTATTTTTTCCTCCCGGGTTCTAAAATGGAGTTTGCCGGTGGTGTCTGTCGGGAAGGCAGTAGGGGCAAAGGGCGCCGCCGTGCGCAACTTTTGTTGCCGGGCGTCCCGCCGCGCTGTGGCCGCGCGCCCCGAACCGCGAGTTTCAAGTGCCCACGGCGACGCCCCGTCCTCCCTGGCGGAGTCCCTCCCTCCCCCGCGGCTCGAACCGCGAAGGCTGTTGCCGCGCAAAGTTCTCATTGGGCCGCCGCGCCACGTTCGTTCGTTCCTTCGCTCGCTCGCGCTGTTTCCCGCCTCAATTCATTTTTCCCCTCGGCGGCTAGTTGCCCCGCCCCGCCCCGCCCCGTCTCTGTGCGCCTTGATTGCGGTTGCGCGGTGCTTCGCGTTGCTCCAAACATTCGCCTGCTCGGTCCTTGACTTTTCTCATTAAGGTGATTTCCCTGCCTGGGAGAGAGAGAGAGGGGGGGGGAGGCCGCTGTTGTCGTGGCCGTGAAGCCGTGGTGCGCCTCCCTGCTCGCGACGGGCCTCGTCACCCTGGAGGTTTTCTCCAGAGGAAAAGGGGGGGGGGGGCACCCCGTGACACCAGGGCACGCGGCCCTCCTACACAGGACTGGGTAATTACGAGTCTGAATCATAATCGATTCATCGCATTCGTTCGACTAACGGCACAACGGCGATTGTTTTCGATCAAATCGAATCGTTTAATTGTCAAAACAATCGTGGTTATTTTCGATTAGTCGATGTATTGACGATTGCGATTCATCGATTGATCAATCAGTTGCGATTGTTTTGTTACTCGAGTAATCGATTAATCGCGGTTAATCGATTAACGGCCGAGCGCGCCGCGCCGTGGTCGCCAATCTCGGCCAGCTTGGCGCGTTGTTTTCAAGGTCCGCCTCCTTTTTCTGAGGGACGCATGCAAATGCGGCGGAGGGGTTTTAGCGGCGGGAGGGGGGGGGGTGCAGCAGCCGAATCGGGTCGGCCGCTTGAAAAGAGATTCCAGCGGCTTTAGCCCGGGCACGGCGGCACGCCGACTTACCCCAGCGCAGCGGGAGCTGTGCTCTGTCTCTCTCGCACTCGCGGGCCGCGCCGTAGGGGTGCGAGAGAGACAGAGCCGACCTTCCTCCGACTCTCCGACGACCCCATTGCTCACCCTCGCCACCGGAGGGGCTGAGGAGTGGCGTCCTTTCCACCTGGCCGCCGCGAGCCTGGCTGGCTGGCTGGCTGCCTGCCTGCCTGCCTGCCTGCCTGCCTGGCTGCCTGGCTGCCTGGCTGCCTGCCTGCCTGCCTGCCTGCCTCGCCGCGAGTCGCATTCTCCGGGCCCTGGTCAAAGAACCCCGACCGCCCGACCACCTGCCCCCTTGTCGCTGGCCTGCTGCCGGTCAAGACCCCGCCCCAGGCAAGGCCCCCGGCAAGGCCCCAGGCAAGGCCCCCGGCAAGGCCCCCGGCAAGCGCGGCCCGGACTCGGCCTGCTGGCCCCGGGGCAATTCGTTTTTGTTTCTGATCCGCACGCGGGGCGGGGCGGGGCGGGGCGGGGTGGGTCCGCGTTGGCCGCGACGCCGGCTCTGGCTTTGGCACGGCGTCCCCTCGGGCGTCCCCTCGGGCGTCCCTGCCTTGGCCGACGAGCGCTGCGGACCGCGGCCGTTTGTCGTGGCGTCGCGCGTCGAAATGATTTGCAGGAAGGGTGCGTTACAGTGGGGCTGCCTCTCTCTCTCTCTCGCTCTCTCTCCTGAGTGCAACAGAGAGAGGAAAGCGACCTCCAGTGTGGTGCTGTAGTGTACCGCCCCCCCCCCCCCCCCGCGCTCACTTCGAATTAATTCGGGTGCCCCGACCCGCGCTGCCCCCGCCCCCCCCTCTCTCTCTCTCGCTCGTTGTGCTTCTCTGTTTGGCTCGCATCGGCATTGAATTTCGCAATTTTCCGAAACGGCCATAAATTGAGAGATTAGGGCGTGGTGGTGTAGGGCTGCCTCCGCCCTCCGGCTGGCCGACTCGCCGCCCGGCTTGGGGGCGGGGGCGGGGGCGGGGGCGGGGGCGGGGTTGGGGGCGGGGCCCACTCAGTGCTGGAACAGCCTCAAGCTGCGTGGCGCTATGCGTATTCCCTAGTCCGCCTGTCGATACTGTACTGGTGTGCATTCCCCGGCAGTGCAGCGGAGCAGCAGTGCGGGGCGCTATGCTAGTCTTGAATGGCTGAGAGGCGCGGGCATATTGGGGCCGCCACGCCACGCCACGCTAGGCCACGCCACCCCTGCCCTTGCACTGTAAAAATTTCTTGTCACCTGTCACTGCGGCTGAAATTTATTGCACATGAATTCAAAATGATGTGGCAATGCCTACACTGTATAAAAAAAATTTGCTGTCCCTTGACGACACATTACAGTGGAAGGGTGTGACAATATATCGTCATCAACTGGATGGAATGAATTCTTTGCTGGGGGGACCTTTGCCTTTTTGTCATCATGTGACTTCCAAAATCGACCAAAATATTTTACGCAGCGTATTCGCGCCCGACCGAAGGTTTCCCATTTGTGTATTGCGTTGCGGGCGCGGCAACGCGGCAACGCGAAAAAAAAAGTGGGTCGGCACACTGTAAGGAAGGGCACGGCGGCGTCGCAGAGTGATTGGTCACGAAGCGGCGACGCGGCGACGCGCAGCCTTTTTTGCTCTCTGCGATCGGGGCACCCGAAGGCGGTCGCGCGGTCTGCCCTACCTGTCTGTCTGTCCGTCCGTCTGTCTGTCTGTCCGTCTGTCTGTCGGGTCCCTCCGCGTCAGGCAGGCAGACCGCAGGCAGCGCGACGCCTGTTGAAGCCAACGCGTGTCCGAAACTTTGCTTGTCCCGCGCCACTTATCCGCAGGCCAATTCGGCCCCGGTTGTCTCTCTCGCACTCATGCGGCACGCCCCGAGTGCGAGAGAGAGAGAGAGGGAGGGACCACCCCAGCGCCGCTCGCAACGAGCCGGCCGACGGCCGACACAATAACAGTGGCACCCCCTGGCCCCTGGCCGGCCGACACAATATCAGTGGCACTCCCTGACCGCCGCCAGTCCCGCCAGTTTCGGCCGGGGAGAGGGTGGAAGGGGGTTGGTCGCCGGTCGGTGGCCGATGCACCGCATCAGGGGGAAACTCTAATGAACAGAGCGACTTGCAGTTCCTGTGTCACTGTCGTGCCTGTCGTGACAGTGTGTCAGTGTGGTGTGTCGGTGCGTGGGAAGGACCGGCGGTTTCGACGTCGCCTTCCGTCGGACGGCCGACAATGGCCGCGGCGTCTGCCGGCTGGGGGGCGTGGCGGTGGTGGGGCGGGGCGGGGCGGGGCGGGGCGGGGCGGGGCGGGGCGGGGGGGGCGCGGTGGGGGCCGGAGCCGGCCAGCCGCGCCACACCCTGCCCCGACGCCGCGCGGAGCGCAGGCAGCGCAGCCAGGCGCGCCCCGAGCCAAGCAGCCCCGAGAGCTCGCTGAGCCGCGGCGAGCCTCGCCACGCGGCCCTGCGACGCCCTGCACGCGGCCCGACCTCCGGTCACGTGACCTCCGGCGTGTCCAACTCGTCGTGACGAACCGACCGCGTCGCGTGCGTATACCGAGTGACGCCTTGCAGTGCAGTGCCAATGAGTGACGCCAAGAAGTGACGCGCAGAGTGACGCGATGTGACGTGAATGTGACGGTGTGACGTCCACGGCTCCGTGATGTGCGCCCCGCTGGGAGGCCCCGGCGTCCCCTGGCGTTCCGGCTGACTGCCTCCAGGCCGCTCGGCCATGCAGGGAAGACGGGGCGCGCCGTGCTCGACCTGCCACCCCGCCGACCCCAACGCCGACCCCAACGCCGACCCTAACCCCGACCCCAACGTCGACCCCTACCGGATCCCGCCCCCGGCGTTGCCGGCGTTGCCGGCCAAGGAGGCCGTGGTGGTGCTGCAGCAGCTGCGCCGGCGCCCGGCGTGGCTTCGACGCCGGCCTCGGCTCGGCCGGCGGCACGCTCCGCCCAGCCCGCCCAAGGCGGTGTGGATCATCCTGTACTTTCTGGGTGAGTGGTCGCCGTGACGCGGGGGGTTGCGAGACCCTGAGGGGCCGGTCGCCGTCGAGGTGACAGTCGTCCTGGACCCACGCCTGGCCTACGCGCAGGCTGTACACTGCTGGTTGCCGTGGCTGTGCCGAGGCCCCCGTCGGCCGCATCGTCACCGAGTCCAGGTCGTGGTTTCAACTTGGTTTCAGCAGTGTAGGCACGAGAGTATA